CTTTAACTCTTCCAAAACCAGGTTTTTTTATTTCTTCAATAATGTTCATTGCTTCTGGACTGCTCAAATATAATCATAGGAATTTTTGCTCAGTTTTTAGTATTAATTCCCTGATGGGTGGGACATATTGGCAGTTTTAATTGCTGATAATTTACATATTTTCAATTATTTTCCAAAATAAAATGTAACTTCATTTTTTGAAAGGAATTATAGCACGATTTTTGCAAAGTAAGGTTTACATTTCAGATTCCTCTCCCACAAAAAATAGTAAAAACCACTGATCATTCGTCGATGAACCTAAATTTTTATTTATGTTTTGTGAAAAGCCTCTAGGAGCATTTTCACAATCTGGGGGCCTTCTTTAGTTTAAAAGGACACTAATACCATGACCTACTTTCCTTCAGAGTTCACAGAAAAGTTCAGGGCGAGGGGATGAAATATGTTGATTGGCAGAGAAGCTGGGATGTTTGCAATTTTAATCAAATTTAGTATTAACACATACCTCAAATAATATGTCAGACTAGTGTTAGTGAGTTTAAAATCTAATGACAACTGCTGTCATTATTAGTTAAATATAGCCATTGTGCCTGTGGCAATAAATGATGGCACTTCAGAACATGCAGAAACAAAAAGCTAAAAAACTCTCAAGTATTTAAAAAACAGGGAGTGACTGTAAACATAGTTAAACACAGGAATGTGACCTGGGCATAATATGCTTCCCAAATACAGAGGCATCTGGAATTTGAACAGGGGACATAATTGAATGGAACATTATGTGTTGTTACTACTAGGGTTAAATTTTAGGAAACTTGTGCCTTTCTTCCTGTTTCATAAATATATATTAAGGAGTTTCATATTTGTTATATTAACACTTATTTGTATTACTATATAAGATATATTTCAGATTCATGTCTCTGTTACTGTTCTGTGACCTTTAAAATGTATCACTCAATTTTTCGGAATCTTAAAAAGTGGGAGCTGAGAAAAGTCAGTCCTGTTTTTAATAGATGAAAATACTTTTTCCCAGACAATATGTTTTGGATTCTTGAAATTATGGAGTTTGTTCATGGCATTGATTGGTATTTATTTCAAGGTGAGGAAAGAGAAAGAAGTTAATGCAAGATGTGTCTGAGTACATAGGCATAATATAATATATACTATACAATATCACTATATTTGTAATACCATATGCTATTCCTTTCAACCTATAAGTTTATTCCTTTTTATTACTTAAAGAAAGTTTCTTTCAATTCTGTAAATCTTATTTAAACAATGACAGTAAAAAGGAATCGTGGATGAAAGGGGATGTCAGGAGACTAAGAAAACTGAATTTTGGAATAAGTTCAATGTAACCTGCAAACCTGGGCTCAGACCATGAACAGTGTAGTTCTTAGACAGGGACTTAGGAGCTGTCAAATGAGGATTTTAGTGCTCTGTGAGTTTATACTGTTATTGTACAAGTGCTGTTCCTCAGTCCTAATAGTAAACTTCTGTGCCATCATATCATTAAGAACTCTTTTACTGGGGGAAGTATTTCTTGACATAGGGATTTGAACTATAACATTGCTGTCTTGAGCTGATGAAAGATTTACAGCTGCTTTAACCAACAGTAATAGTGTTACTGTGTGGTTTTTTTTTGGGGGGGGGGTTCTTCCATTTAGGTAATATGTTCTGTTTGTCCACAGTTCTCACTGTAATGTCTGTTTGTTGAGTTAATCTCCACTTTCTGTACCAAATTATTGACTACTGTTGTTGATCTTGTTTAAATAGTTTTAACATCTAACATATAATTTAATTTTTGGAAATTATGGTGAGTTCTGGCTTATACTGTGGCAGGATTGACCTTCACTACAATTCTCCAGGCAGCCTTAAGGAGTACTGTGGATATAACCTTAAAGGATGGGCAAAATTTTTCTTTATCACATTCTTTGGTTTAGGCAGCTGTAATCTCCCTAAATTTGCCTTTAGGCCTCTACTTGCTCTTATCATTCAATGCCAAGCCATCTCTTAAGCTTCACCTTATGTCATCTTTCGTTATAATCTAAATCAGCTGCCACTTCTTTTCCAAGTACTGCTCAAGAGGAAACCAAACCACACTTACTTAGTGTGGCTTACCTCAACTGAGATCACATCCTTTTGCAGCTGTATGACAGACAACTCGTAATACCTGCTTATATGGGAAATAACACCATATAAATGAATATCCCACCAAACTAAATCAGTACCAAAAGGTGCAGACTTAGACTAGATCTGCCAGTGCATGTTAGAGCCCCTCCTTCCCAGGCTTATTCACCTTCTGCAACTTCTCTGAAAACATGATGTTTTCAAAAATTCCCAAATGGCAGTCAGTCCATCTTTTTACTCACTGATGTTGTTTGGTTGAGATTTTAAGATCTGTTTTCCTGTGTTAGTAAACGTGGGTTTTAACAGTTAGTTAAACTGGTCTTTCCACAACCTCTTTATTACATTTTCATATGATCAGAAGGGGAATTCATGGATAAGTCACATGAAGATGTGATTCAAGATGTGTTGCCTTGTGAGTTCTGGGATACATCTGAGTGGACAGAGTGTCTTATACAGTCAATTAAATTAACCTTTTCACACAAATATGAGTAACTAATGTAAAAAATAATGTCCATAAGAAAACTGTCTTCCAAAACTGTTGTTGTTCATGAAGTAAAAAAGAACTTTTTGTCTGAATAAATGGTTGCTGTATGACCATGTCCTTGTAGAGAGGATGCTATTTCAAGCTCTTCTATGAGGTCCTGTACAATTTTTCAGGAGTCCCATTTCTAAAATGGATTTAGTAAGACTTGCTTGCTTTCTAAATGAGTAACGAATCAATAACAAAAACTTTTCCCAGTTGTTAATAGTAAGGACTGTGAAACACATGGAATTGTCAATGCTATTTCCTGCATTTCCCAGTCTAGCATTGTTACATTTACCTGTGGAAGTAACAACTAATGCTCTTTGCCCATCTCTATCCTACTTGGCATTCCAGTTTTAAATGTACAATGTGAAAGGCTGTTTTGAGCCTAAGAGACTACTCAGTACAACTGGCATCAGCAAAGTTATTTGATACTGGAACCTGATCAGTGGCAATGGGAAAGATTAGATTTTTAGCAGAAGATTTTAGCAAGCTCATACTGAGTGCACAGGCCAATTGGTTTGTACAGCAACCAGAGAATGACTTCCTGACAATGCAAGGGCTGTTTCAAAAGCGAAGATAAGGCAAAATTCATAAATTCTACAATGAACAGGAAGGGCTCTGGAGAAGGGAGCAGAAAAATGAAACTATGTCTGTGTTACCAAGTTGCACAGGGACAGAGAAACACACCTTTGAAGGAAGCAGTTGTTATTACAAAGGAACTTCATGTCCACACTGCACACATTTTAAAAGACATTACTCTGGGCGAGCTCTACTCTGTGCTTTGGACTTGTGGAAGGGCTTTAGGTGCATCTCTGGAGCACATCCCTTCATTTAGTTTCATCCAAATGATATCTGTTTGCATGCTTTGAAACTGCCCTGTGATACAAACCAAAGTACATTAAGTGGAAACAGTAGGTTCCTCACTTAAAAATTTCAGTCTGTCTTTGAACTAATGCAGATGCATCCCCGTGGAAGAGAACAAACAGTGATTTTTCAAATGTAAATCTGAAATTTGCTTACCTGTTGAGAAGTAAGTTTGGTTGCAAAACCTTACTGGATTATTAATTTGTAAATTTCTCAGTCCTGGTAAGTTACTGTAGCTGTACTGAATTCGATAAAGTTATCTGATTTACAGTCACTGAGGATCTAATCCATGGGTTTGAGGATCCAGTGTGAAGTTCCATAGGTGGACAGCCACTGAAGCTGGGAGACTAAACCATGGTTTAATGACAGGGTTTGGTGTTTTTTTTCAAATTGATTGCCAATATCAATGCTGATGAGAAGATTAATTTTCTTTTGTCTTAGAGTTTTAAATCACTATGAAAGGCTCAGCCATTTATACTTTAGTGGATTTAGAGACATTTATTAACATAATCAACACACCCTTTATATTTTAGAATAATGTAGCCTCATGATATAAAGACTTGTGAATTGAAACCAATTTTTCAAAAGAACTGTCATGCATCTAACATAATCCAACTGCAATAATAGCAGTATGAGGCTTACATTTTCAAAATTATGTGTATAGACACATTCCATTAACATTAATGACAGTTTCAAGGCTAAGGATCAAATTTTTCCTGAGTTAATCCTCTGACTCCCACTGATTTTAGTGATCTTAGATTACTGAATAATTTTTAAAGGCCTTCAGCCCCTAAGTTTTTAAATATATCCAGCTCAGACTGAATTGTTACCGGTCCAATGATTGTGTTTATTGGCACAGTTTTGATCTGTATCTGGATAGCTACTGATTATATTTCTGCATGCAATGAATGTGCAACAATCTCCTTTGAAGATTTAATTGTAAGTGCATTTTGTGCAGAGGCAGTACACCATTTAGAGGTCATTTTCTAGTGTTTGGGAAAAGAAGAAAGCTAACAGTTCAAACGAAATAAAAATGTCATTTATACGATGCAGTGTCAGATATGGAACTCAAACAACGTACAAAAGGTTCAGACTTAATTTTTCTGAAGCAGAAGAAACGAGAGGCCTTTCATTTTTGTAGGTGAGAAGTGAAACGTTCCTCTCTGCTCACCGATAGAGGCATGCTAAGGTGAATTTTAATTATGACTAAATTGTGGTATTACTCTTTCATACCCTGAACATCTGTTCCCTTCAGGAACGATGATTTATGCAGGCTATCACTGCAGACAGCTTGCTACAGCTTATGTCATGGTTAGGAGGAAGCTGGTGGTACTATTTCAGAAAATACCAGCATCTAAGTGGAGACAGGCCAGTGTGTATTTTTAAGGTAGTAGAGAAAGGGCAGCATGATGTGCCTGTTTTCAATTTTGAAGCCAAATATTGACTTTACTGGTTTTTTTTCTTTTTTTTTTCTTTTTCCTTTCAGACCATCTGTCATTAATGAAGAAAGTATCTCGGCCTGGTTCTTCCTAGTGGTGGCAAGCAAAAGAAAACCAAACCTGTCGTTGTTCACTGCGTGTAGAAAACTACTGAGAACAGCTCTGGCAGAATTTTAGTGTTTGAGAACTGCAAAGGACAGGTTAACTATGAGGTTATTGCACCACAAAATCAAATTGAAAAGGTAACTTTTTTTATTAGTGTGTTTGCATGAATGCATCTCTAAAGTACCTTCACTGTTACTGCAGTTGTACTGGTTTTATATAATTACAGATTAAAAAAAGCAGGCAAAGAAATCTCTGAAATGACAAAACCTTGGAATTCAGCAAAACAGGGATTATATGTATGTTCAGGTTAGATAAGGGGAATTTTACATCTTTTCTCCCTCTTTCCTGAAATCCCCCCTGCTCTTTAACCTGCTTGTCTTTGCCTAGTAGTCACCTTGCTTCTGATTATGCCTATTTCTTCCCCTACTTTTGTGTCTGCTAACTAATAGTACAAGATCTGAGGGTTTATTACCAAGGAAGATAATTTCTAAGATTACCTGAGGCATGAGTTACATATGTTATGTATGCTTGCACATATGGTCAATTCTGGTTCGATTAGATATTATAAATATTCAGTAGTTAAAATGCTTGTCTTAAAAGAGATAACACTGTAACCATATAACAACATATTTTAAAGTTATGTTCTATACAAGAATCTTTTTTTCTTCTATGAGGTATTTTAATACTTTTTTGGCAATTCAGTAGGATTTAGAAGAATTGATATACTGTCTTTATTTTCTAGAAGGGCGTATGTATTTGTCCCAGAACAATTATGACACATATGCTTTATACCACCTCATTTCCTTTATTAGCCTGTGATATATTTGAAATAAGATTTTAAAAATAAATTTTAAATACTTTTCAAACCTAGGGTTGATCAACAACATGGAATACTTTGTGAAGATTTCCACTGAGTTTAAGGAATTTTGAATGCCTGGAGTATTAGCATCCAGTCCTCTCTGAATTATGCAATCCAGGTTTATGGGTGGTTTTAAGTCTGTAGGACAATATGAACATTGTAGGTCCCTTCCAACTGAACTATCCTATTCACTAGAATTTTCATCCACTAAAATAATACCCAGGAGAACTCTATAACCACATCTGGCACAGTTAATAAAAAGTCATGTGTCTGTCAGTTTTTGATAGGCATCATTCCATATTTTGTAATGTAAAACTAATTGTATTGCTGTCAACATTGGCGCTAATATATATCAAGATATTGCTCTCAAATGTGAATAATAACACTTCAGCAGTAAATGTTCTTAGAACCTCTTGTCTAACTAGAACATTCACAATACTTTCACCATGATGAGGAAAATCAAAACACACAGATCAAACTTGTCTGCATAGAGGAGCAAAAAAGTTCAGCAATGGTTTTTGAACATCACAGCCATACAATATTAATCCATCTTTGGGGTTTTTTTCCATGAGGATATCTTGATCTAGAACATAAATTGTTAAACTGATGTCCATGATGCCTTAGAGATGTCTGGACTGCTTTGAAAGGGCCAGGGAGCTGCAGAAGTCTTGCAATAACAGGGAAAAAGTGACTGAGGCTGTAGTTCTGAGCATATCTGAAGTCAGTGTGTTGCAGTGCTGTTGATAAAAGGAGCCTCCACCACTTGTGCCCTGTCATTGCAGGACTTCTGCAGCTCCCTGACCAGTGCAAGGGTTTTGCTCCCCCATTCAGTGAACCACATAGAGGAGATGACACAAGCCAAAAAAACCCCAGCTAAAATCACCAAGTTAAACCACAACAAAAGGCCAATGCATTTGAAATGAATTGTCAAATTGGTGTCTCAGGTATTAATGCAACAGTAAATATAAAAAAAAAATATTAAAATTTTCAAAATGATGTTTCCTCCAGTCAAGTGATTTAAAAAGAAAACTTATTCCTTGCTTGTAAATTGCAAACAAAGCCTAATTGCCATAAAAATTACAATACTGTATCAGGCTGAACTTTAGTAGTCCAATATCCTGTCTTTAGGCAGATGTCTAAAGAAAAGTGGAGGAATAAAGGCAGCATACGATACATGTGGTGCATATTTTGGTGATTTCCTAGGGTACTCCCTCATCTGGGACAACCCCAGTCATGGTGCAGTCAAATCACCAATATATCAGAAGCAGAGCATTTTTTTTTAACTTGAATACAAATATTATTTGTTCCTTGAATGAGACATTGTTCTTTCCCTTTGCTGTGTCATTCACTTAGTGTGATTTAAAAAAAAAAACCCACAATTGAAATGTGGGGGGTTTCTATGTGTGATAAGCACAGTGCTCAGCAGATTGTTGCTGCTGTCTGAAAAGCATGTTCATTTCTCTGTACTCAGTATTTCTTTTCAGACCTTTACCTATTAATGAAAGAGTTGGCCAGCTATGCAGAGTTATGTGAATTCATCAAATCTGGTGGGAGCTTGGCAGGAAAGTCTGAAGTGCAGCCGAAAGATGTTTGATTCTCTCTCTTCTGAAACCCAGACAAAAGTGAGACCTGTCTCACTTCACTTGTGCTAGATGTGTATCACCGAATGAAGGAGAAAAAAGACACACTGAACAATTGCTGTCTCTGTTTCATTTCTCAAAAAAAAATGCAAATTTAGCAGACTGTACAACCTTCACAGTTTTCTTCCCATCCTCCCTTAGTCACTGATACACTTGCACAACTACTGTACAGCAATCAATATACACATGTACAGAAAATAGGATTCATAATTCATGGAAGGAAAGGATATTTTCGTGCTGGAAGTGCCTGTCCTTATGCAGTTAAAACTGGCAAGAATGTTAAATATGTTTACAAAATTTGAAAGAAGAGATGAGATATATGGTGATTATTTTCTTTTTTTAATACTTATTTTTATACTTATTTTGAACTAGTACGAAACACTTTTTCTGTCCCAAAACAAAGTTCAGAAAATGCCTGAAATACTGTTCTGTTTTGATTTGAACCTGGTTCTTCCAAATCTACTTTTACATGGTTGTTTTCAGTTAGGCAACTGCCTAGAAAGATAAAGAACCTTTAGTTGTAAAGGATTAGAAGCTACAACTTGAGGAGGACCTTGGGGTCATTGTAAGAAATTGTGATATATTTGTATGTTTTCCTACCTTCTATTCTCTCTTGCAAGGCAAGTTAAAACTGGGTCAGAAACATGGCATTTGGGCCTAAATATGGCAAATATGTACAGAAAATGGGAAATGGAGGGGAATATACTGAATTTTAGCAATCTTAGGTGGTTTGCAGCACCTTCCAAAGAGTTGCATATTTGTGAGTGTTGGAACTGCATTGAAGGTACTGTAATTACAGTTAAAATTGAAAAAAAAAAAAGAAAAGAAAATAACTCCAGAAAACTTTAATGATGGTGTGTTGTCTTTGTCTTATTTTAAATTGGATCTCTCTGGACAGACAGCAGCTCTCCTAAGTTTGATGTGCAATGTCAGTTGTGGAATGTGTATTCTATTGAAGTAGAAGATGCATTTTCCACATTTGAAAATGTCTCATTGCAGTTGGATGTGTGAGATTTTTAAAACAGGACACATTCTTCTTAAAATTTACAAGATCTGTGAAGTTTTTCTTCACTCTTTGTGTTCTCTATGAGCACCTTGAAAAAGGCAGCTTAGGATATTCCCTGACTGACCTGAAAGAGGAATGATGGTTGAATAATGTCATTAGTATTTTCCCCTTGCCTCTTCTTTTCAACACCTCCATGAACAATGAATTTCTCCTGGTCAAAGTATTGCCATTTCTGTCATCAAAAAAGTAACTTGTGTACTGTCTTTCTTAGACTTTCTTTCAAAGTATGACAGGTAATTTCACCAGCATCATTTCAGTGACAGTTTCTGCTTTAATCACACGAATCCTATAGTGATGATTCACCTCTTTCATAATTTTGCATTCACTGAAATAGTGTTGCACAATATAAAACACCTATTGTGTATGTTCTCAAGTGTTATGATTTCTGTACAAGCTGGAAGGAGGTAAGCTAAATATTCAATAATCAATTCTTTTGAAGTAAGTGTAGCAAGCAAATAGTATTTAAAAAAATGCTATCAAGAAATGCATGTTTTACATTGGCTGAGCTATGTGACTTTAAGTTATTCAGCCTGAAAACCTGGTTCAGCATAAAATCACAGCAGTGGGAGGATTCTCTCTAAAACAATAGCTGTAATGCATGACTAGGAACAATCAGAACAATGTGGACATGGAGAATAAGCGTAATTTAGAACTTGATGGTGGGCACAAGAAATGGTTTGTGATATTCCTTGTTGTGATGGTATGAAACAGGCCAAAACATTAATATGTTTGGGGTGTGTTATTCTAAAGTTCTCTAAAGGCAAGTTTCTATCTTTGCTAGCAGAGTTAAACATTGAAGTTAGAAATAAATTTTGTTAAAAGTTATTTAGGTTTAAACATTGAAAATAATAAAAATCCATGTGTTTGGATGCTAAATGGGAATCAGAAGTTAAATTTAGCAGTTGTGACATTTCTAGAGTTTAGCATATATTTTTATTCAAGGCATGCATGCTCTAGTCAAAATATACTGTTAACACAAAAGTGCAGTAGGGAAAATCAAGCCCCTCTCTGTCTGCAGCACCCAGTGTAATTCCAGCATAGAACACACACTTTCCACTGCCAAGGAGTCTTTTGCTGGAGTCACTGAGTAACTTCTAAGACATTGCTACCTTATCTTGTTTTTCTACCATGGTCATCTATGGTCAATGGAGACACACAAAAAATTTTGCACAACATAGTTACCTTTTTGTGTGGCTAAACTAATTAGATTTTATAACAGTTTTGTCTTTGTCTGTAAAGTCTTTGAAGAAGATCTTCCTGTTATATATTTGTGCACAGCATCTGAAGTATAGATTCATTTTTCATAAGCATCTAAATTTTTCTTTATAATTTCATACTTTTTCAGCTGGTAAGAAACACAAAACATTTTGTTAGACCTGCAATTGCTTTTTTTCCCTCAAAATATTTCTTGGGATATGTGATTTCTTGCGTTTCTAATGAATTTGCATGTATAGAATGCTGTACTTGAGAATGTGTAGAGTCATTGCTGGAAATCAAATAATTGACAGCTGTTCATTCTGAATTTTATGTGGAGGATAGATTGCATTGCATTTGTTCTCTAAGTGATAAATGTTTTCTTTGTAGCTGTTTAGAGCATAATCATCCTATGGCTTTTTTGATTTTCTAAAGATATTTGCTAAAGAAATAGGTTTTTATTATTTTCAGTAACACCTTTCCTTTTTTAAGTTTTTCAGGTGATTACACACTGAGGATAACTTATTTCTCCAGTGAGATGCTGATACAACATATAAGGAGAAAAAATGGGCTATAAATGGTAAGTAGCATTTGTAGAACAGGCATTCTGTTTACTAAATTGAGGCATTGAGGACTTTGAACTGAAAATAAAATCTGGACTTCTTTTTTTAAATAATTTGTGTGGCTTGGTGCCCTTAAATGGAACTAAAAATGGCAAATAGTCAGTAAATAAGCTCATGAATAAAGCTATTGCTTTATGTAATTCTAGTATTTTAATATTATTTACGTAGTTTTAATCAATTTTTCAGTGATTGATTGGCCTTTTTCTGTCAGTACTGCTTTAGTATGAGAGCTTTTTCTTACAGTTTCAATGGAACACCACACACAGTTTATCTCTCCTACCCTTGTATATGGTCTGTAAATAAGACATCATTCCAACTCTGTGTAAGAAGGCTAAGAATTATTTCTTTGAGCTTTCCTTTAGGGATATTTTTAGAAAATAGCTATATCTTTGTATTATAAATTTAATTAGGTATTTAAATATATATCCCTAGGACTTTTGTTTCCTTATTCCTAAATATGTCTCTTTGTTATTCAGACCAAAGATTTTTAGTATAAGATTTTAAATAAATATGTTCAAAAGCTTCAGACTTTAGAAGTGCCTGTGCCTATTAATAATCCTCCTATCATGGGAGAACTATATGTGGAAGATGTAGTGTTTGGAAACCATTAAAAGGAGTCTTAAATTCTTTAGGTTTTTCACCTCCACAAATGTCTGTAAATTAGTCTGCTTATTTCTCTTCAAATCCTAACCACTTTCAGAGGAGCAAATCAGATTTCAGCCCAGCTAGGAGCAGAGTTTTTCCAGGGTTTTTGACTCTCCTCACAAGCCAGATAGCATGCCCTGGCCATGTTTTAGGAAGAGAGAAGGCTGTCTTCATTATGAGCATTTTCTTGTTATTTCAAAGTTTACAGAAGGTATTAAAAGAATTTATTCTTGATTATAAAAAGAAATATAGGGAATACTCATAAAAATTGTTGTAACGAAAAGAACATGACAGCCTCAGCCAAATGTTCTCCCACACTGTCTGAGGAGAAACTGGACTTATACTCTGTCAGTATTGCTGAAAAAGCAACCTAGTGATATATTCAGAACCTTCCTACCCTATGTGATGAAAATATTTCTCTCTTCAGTGGCATTTTCAATTTATGGTGCAAATGATATCAGTGGCAACAAGATATGGATTAAGCCAAATTTTCTTTAATCACAGCCTATGTAACCACACTTACAGCATTTCTTTATAAGCATAAGTTACTACTAAAGTACTTTCTTCAAAACCAATTTTTAAATATAACTCAGTCACGATGGGACCCTGAACCTTCATTGTGAAATCTTGTATTGCAACAAAAGTATCTTTGATGCCAATTACATGACCTGTCTAAGAATCAACCCAGATATTTCTTTTCTGCACCTCATCCTAATGTTTTGGTTCAGATTCAGCCTAACATTTCTATCCTCAGGTGTGGAATATAGTGAGCAACAGCTTTTTTAACAGATCCAAGGCAAGTTAACTGGCATTGATCCCACAGCTAGAGAAGTGTTTTTATTCTTAGCTTAGCTAGGATCAGAATTCTGAATGTAGAAGCTCATCTCTGTGGAGTGTTCATCATTACTTTTCCCACAGAGATATAAAAATTTGCTCTATGCCTATTATCAGGTACTTTGTGCTCCATATTAGCTTTTATCATTTTATACCTCTACTGCCTAGTCTTAAGGGAGTATATTCATTGGTTTGTCAGACCTGTAAAAGTTGGCATCAGTAGATGCAGCTAATTATTTCATCTATTCAAACCAATTTATAGTATACCTAATATAATATAACAGAATGTAGTATAATATAACACAATATGATATAATATAATATCAACCGTATATTATACAGAATAGTATCATTATATATTTATATAATATATATAATATATATTATATATATTTTATATATATAATATATATTTATTATAATAAATTTCTACTGGTAAGTTATATGTATTATTATATGTATACCATATATAATAATAGAAAGATTATACATTTTACATTAAAATCTGTTACTTAAATAAAACTAAGTGCTGCACCCGTGGTTCCACTCACCTGTGTGATATTCTCCACTGGAAAGCACAATGGAATCTGTTGAATTTCTTTGACATACAGAGTGTGCATACCTTATTCTGATTAGTGTAGAAGGCATGGTATGAACAGGGGAAATAACAAAGATGTTTGAATTGATCTGGCAAATGTGCACCTGCTTACACCACGGGTTATAACCAACAGAGCACTAAAGCAGCATTAAGTTCTATTATAATGCATCTTCTCTTGACTCAGTAAATTAAAATACAAAAAAATAACAAGAGATCAAACCTCTCTGGCAGTATGTGTATCTGGTGGAATGAAGAACACCATCTCTGGTTTTTTGTAATTTTTAAAAATAATATCTGGAGTTTTTGTTTTAAAATCTGAATATATCCCTTCATATGTAGGGGTTTTTTTAAACTGTACTTCATTAGGAGTTAGTATTTTACCTGAATGAAATTCATATACAGGAGGTCATAGTTATGAAGATTAACTCATTTTCTCCAGGATCTTTCTCTACCTTCTACTTAACTTATATGCATATTCAATTAGGCAATATGTCTTCATGCTTCTTTAAGTCTTAAAGAACTTTTGCACATTAGAAGAACTGCTGGAGGAAGAATGCATAAATAGGCAGACAGATATCCCAGAAAGTTCAGCAAAGGGAAATGTGAAATGCTGCAGCTGGAGAGCTGTAATCCAATCCTCAAGTACAAGTGTGAGGGAGTAAAGAACATCTATTCTCATTTTTCCCAGTAGTGTTCAATGAATGGATAAGAAGCAGTGGACAAAAATTGAAATGTGGGCAATTCCACTTCAGCATAAGACAAAAAAGTGGACAAAAATTGAGCAGTCTGCCCAGAGACGTTATGAAGTCTCATGCTCAGAGACATTCAGAATTCCACTGGAGAAAACCCTGACCAATGTGCTCTCACTTGACCCTTCTGTGAGCAGGGATATGGACTAGATAAAGTCTAGAGGTCCCTTCCAACCTCAGCCATCCTGTGTCCTGTGAACTCCCCAGTGGATTGCAGTAATGCATCACAATGAACTGCTGTCAAGAATTCCAAGCATATTGTGGCTGAAAAAGTCTTCTTGGCCTTTCATTGTCTGGCTGCTGCAATTGCATCTCTACAGATTTCTGTAACTGCTTCAGCACTGAATGTTTTGAAAATAGAGATGAACATCTACAAATTAGTCAGAATTTAAAAAAGAAATACTCAGGGAAATCATTGGTTTTTGTAAAAGACTTCTGTAGACTTGATAAACATCTTCCAAATGGTGGCACAGCTCCTTGCATAAGTATGGGAAAGCTTCCCAGCTACAGTTATGACCCAACAAAGTCATCGTGAGTCCAAATAGTTATAAATTAGCCTGATTTAATACTTAAATATAGAATCTTGACCTCAGCAAGGTTTCCCTAGTGCTAGCATAAAGATAGAAGGAGAAAAGAGGGAAAAAGATGTGGACATTTAAAAATGAGTTTTGAAAAAGACAACTGCTTTGTTCATAATTGCTTCCTCTGCTTCTCCAGTGTCGCACAGAGTGAAGCCTCCCCAAAACTCTTAATTACAGAACTTGGGCATGGACTTGATTGCTGCAGGCTTGTATTATGTTTATATTCATCAGGATAAATATTGGACAAAGAAGGGAGATTAAAAATCTAGTCTGGCACAGATTGGATGAAACTAAACTGCTGTACCTGTTTTAATATGGTTGTAATCATCAGAAATGTACACAGAGGTATACATGCAGTACATTCCTTTCCACTTCTCTTTCATTTAATTCCCTTGCATTTCATTCTTTACTCCTAAATGAGGAGCAAAAGTAGTCACTTATTACTCTATATTTCTCTTTTGGTCTTAAATTTATCCAGACTTTAGTTTTGTCTCCGAACTTTGGCACAGGAGCAGGTGGAAAACCTGGTTGTGAGTCTCACGTGACCAGAGTCCTTCATTCATTCCAAGCTGAACATTCACTTGCAGTGAAATCACTCCTATAAATTGTTTTAAAACAGGGAAAACAAGTTGGTGTGTTTTATTCTGAGTTGATGATTTGTACCTAGAGGAGCTGAGGTGGCACAGGAAGTCCAGGGAGGGTTCTGTTGCACAAACAGAACAGTGTGAGCACCCCAGCCAGTTTGATGCTGACACACATTACCTTTCTTGTTCTGTGGAGATGCTGTGTGTGATTCCTCTCCTGCAGGCCATCACAAGTTGTCACTTCTGGTTGCTGTTGGCTTGTATTTGCTGTTGTCCCACACGCTGCTGCTTGCAAAGTTACATCACAAGCTGTGCTGTAATGTCTGGAAAAATGTGTCATTCCTGCACATGAATGGATTGAGGAGCTATTGAAGGCTATTGTAACTCTTTCTTTCTGCCTGGAAAAACAATTTTCTGCAAAATATGAAATTATGATTCTGCATTGTGAGTAAAACTTTACTGAGCTTTTTATAGCCTGAGTCATGCAAACGACTTAATATTTAGGTAGTATTGTTAATTAGCAGGAGGACAGTCACTTTAGTCCAAGGCTATTTTAACTTTAACATAGCAAGATCCTTAAATCTATTAATTTTCTATGCTGACCTGTTATAAGCTCTTCTAGTAAAAAGAAAAAAAAGATGTGCAGGGTGGTAGAAGTGAAGAAAGAGGCATAAAGTGTATTGGAAAACTACCAAATGTCCCCTGCAAATGGACCCTATTCAGAATCAGTAAGCGTATGATGAGTGAAGTGGTTTTGAATATCGCCTTTAGATTCCATGCTGTTACAAGGCCAGCCCCGAACATGGCAACTCTTATTTCCACACACAGTACCTCTTCACTCTCAATTTAACCCAAAAATCTGATGAACCCATTACTCCATACTTGATTTCATGGAACAAGGAGTAGATATAGTTACAAATGATCAATCACGAGCCGTGAACCAAAGCAGCAAGGCATTAACAATTC